AAGACAGGCTGACGCTCATGTTCTGTGCTAATGCTAGTGGGGATTTCAAAGTGAAGCCATTACTAGTGTACCATTCTGAAAATCCCAGTGTGTTCAGGAAAAACAATGTTATGAAGAGTAAACTGTGTGTGTTTTGGAAATCTAATAGTAAGGCATGGGCCACGAGGGAAATTTTCGTCGAGTGGTTCAATGAAGTGTTTGGCTCTAGTGTGAAGAATTACCTCCTGGAAAAGAAATTGGATCTCAAGTGCCTGCTAGTAATGGACAATGCACCTGCTCATCCTCCAAACTTGGATGACCTAATTTTCGAGGAGTTTGGGTTCATCACAGTAAAGTTCTTGCCCCCGAATACCACTCCTCTCCTCCAGCCCATGGACCAGCAGGTCATTGCAAACTTTAAAAAACTCTACACAAAAGCAATGTTTCACAGGTCCTTGACTGTGACCACAGACACTCACTTTGCCCTAAGGGAATTTTGGAGAGAACACTTCAGCATCCTCCATTGCATAACCCTTATAGGTATGGCTTGGGAGGGAGTGACTACCAGGACTTTGAACTCTGCTTGGAGAAAATTGTGGCCAGAATGTGTCGACAAGAGGGATTTTGAAGGGTTTGGGACTGACCCTGATGAGCCTATGTCTGTTGTTAAACCAATTGTGGCACTGGGGAGTTCCATGAGGTTGGATGTGAGTTTGGAGGATGTGGAAGAGTTGGTGGAAGACCACAACGAAGAGCTCACCACTGAGGAGCTGCAAGAGCTTCAGCAGGAACAGCAACAGATCGCAACTCAGAATCTTGCTGTAGAGGAGGAGGAAGAGAGGTGGAAGAAGGTGCCTTCTTCAGAAATTAAAGAGATTTTTGCTATGTGGGGTAAGATGGAAAGCTTTATGGAGAAACATCACCCTGACAAGATTGTTGCAAGCCATGTTGGCAACATGTACAGTGACAAAGTCTTGGGCCATTTTAGGGAAGTGTTAAAGAGACGCCAGAAACAGAGCTCTCTCCACAGTTATTTTGCGAGACAGGACTCCAGTGACTCTCAAGGTGGTCCTAGTGGCATTAAGAAACAGAGAAGAGAAGCAACCCCAGAAAAGCAAATGGTACCTGAGGTGTTGCTGGAAGGGGATTCCCCTTCCAAACTGTAAACAATCCAATCTCTCTCCTCCTCCAGTCTCCCATACACTAAGAAGAATCTCCAATAAAGGTAAGTGTTATGCTGTTAATGTTTCATTCATCATTTCCCATTGTATTGTTTATGTACTACATCTATATTTCATGTAAAAAAATTTTTTGTTTTAATACTTCTGGGTGTCAGGAACAGATTAATTGTTTATTATTAAGACACTGGCCAATTCCCACCAAGGCAGGGTGGCCTGAAAAAGAAAAACTTTCACCATCATTCACTCCATCACTGTCTTGCCAGAAGGGTGCTTTACACTACAGTTTTTAAACTGCAACATTAACACCCCTCCTTCAGAGTGCAGGCACTGTACTTCCCATCTCCAGGACTCAAGTCCTGCCTGCCAGTTTCCCTGAATCCCTTCATAAATGTTACTTCGCTCACACTCCAACAGCACGTCAAGTATTAAAAACCATTTGTCTCCATTCACTCCTATCAAACACGCTCACGCATGCCTGCTGGAAGTCCAAGCCCCTCGCACACAAAACCTCCTTTACCCCCTCCCTCCAACCTTTCCTAGGCCGACCCCTACCCCGCCTTCCTTCCACTACAGACTGATACACTCTTGAAGTCATTCTGTTTCGCTCCATTCTCTCTACATGTCCGAACCACCTCAACAACCCTTCCTCAGCCCTCTGGACAACAGTTTTGGTAACCTCGCACCTCCTCCTAACTTCCAAACTACGAATTCTCTGCATTATATTCACACCACACATTGCCCTCAGACATGACATCTCCACTGCCTCCAGCCTTCTCCTCGCTGCAACATTCATCACCCATGCTTCACACCCATATAAGAGCGTTGGTAAAACTATACTCTCATACATTCCCCTCTTTGCCTCCAAGGACAAAGTTCTTTGTCTCCACAGACTCCTAAGTGCACCGCTCACCCTTTTCCCCTCATCAATTCTATGATTCACCTCATCTTTCATCGACCCATTTATTTACATTATTTCTTATGGGGAAGACTGATTCGAAAATCGTCTATTTCGATAATAGTCCCACTTCCAGGAACGGATTATGGACGATAATTGAGGGACCACTGTATATGGAAAATGTAGGGTTAGATTCCAGATATGGTATGTGCCAAAGTGTTGGTGGGTATCAGAAAATTTTTGATGGTATCAATACCTGTCTAAAATTGAGTATCAGTGAATACTGGTTAACGTTGATGGTATTAGCCTAAAACTGAGTATAGGGAGCAGCAAAAATTTTGGTATCGTCCCATTAGTTACAGACACCACCACCAAATTTTCCAAACAACTTTTTTCTAATATTCTACTATAACTACCTTGGCTTTGGCTCACAGCAATATTATAAGATTGGATATCCCTATCTAACCCTTCAATACATATCTAAAATGTTTATATTACTTATTATTTATGCAAGAGGGGGCCAATAATGTCATATTTAGCAGAAAGTAAAATAATTAGTCTGATATTACATCACATGCTTTGGTTGAACCAGAGTGTCAGCATACTTCCACACATCCCCCCTTCCCTCAAAATATTATGAGCATGTTGATAATATACGAGCAGCAGAAGATTGACTCATCAACAGTTGTAGAAATGCAGCTACAGTGGATACTGTACATTCCTGTTAAGGGCACGGAAATGCATACGAGGTGCTATCAAAAAGTCCTGACTGCTGTAAAAAAAATTGTAGGCTTACCTAATCACCATGTTAAGCCTCCTTCAAAGTACACTCCTTGGGAGGATATACACTGATCCCAGCAACTATGCCAATTCTCAGAACACTTCAAGAACTCTTCTTTCCTAATGGAATCTAGCACAGCCTGTGATTCTGCTTCAATTTCCTCCATGTTGTTAAAATGCCACCCCTTTAGTGCCATTTTTTTGGGGGGAAGAGAAATAAATCACAAGGCTAGATCTGAGAAATAGGGAAGGTAGGGGATAGCCATCATGATGTTTTTGGCCTGAAAACAATGTCTTTCTGGTCTTTAGTCAGCAAGTGGGGCATAAATTTCACAGCCACTCACGTTTCAATTTTCTGTCAAAATGCTTTGACATGACCCATAAGAATTTCCCACAGCACATGCACTGTCTTGAATACTCAGTGATCTTCATGAATAGCCTTCTTTACTTTTTCACTGTTGGTGTCCTTTTGACACTGACGGATGACCAGAGCATTCATCATCCTCAACTGACGTCTGTCCTCCTTTGAATCGAGAAAACCATTCAAAACACAGAGTCCGACCCACTGCTTCATTGCCAAATGTTTGCTGAAGGATTCTGTAAATTTCACTAGCCATTTTACCAAGCTTTGAAACAGAATTTCAGACACAAACACAAGCTGTTCTTCTTTTAAAGATTCCATTCTGTTATGCAAGAAAAATCACAACACAACAAAGAGTGGTCGTCAAAACTTTACTGGTTTGACTGACCACACAAAGTCACCACGCAACTTCACAAAGGAGTGTACTGTGTAGCATGATCTACACCAGTGCCATATTATACCCAAGAACTTTTTGACAGCAATGCACTGAATATTCTTCATATTTTTCATATCAGTGTTTTACATAAATTAAGCATTTACAAATTACACAAATTTTGGAAAGCATTAGTCATGGAAGGAAAATGCTGACTAGTGGGCATGACTTGCTCTTGCTTAGCAACAATGTTAGAGTGGAAGCTGGGAAGCATTGGTCATGACCCAGCCAGTAGTTTATGAAAATACACTGAGGCTACTGCCCAAACTTTGCACTTTTTAAAGATTTATAGCACATTATTATTAACATTATTTTGAATGCTATGCAAAATGAGATGCATTTTTCTTCTGCATTTTCAAAAAATCATACTCTGTGGTATTGCTGTATAAGAGAATCTACTGTATATTTTTTATTCTCCATTAGCTATTTCCCCACCAAAGAATGATGATTTAAGTGTATGAATATAACAATTCAAATGAGCCAATGAACCATAATATACCCACCCCACCCAACCTTTACAGTGCAAGCACAGCAATTCCTGCCACAATTCTGGCTGTACATTTTTCCCTTGAATCCCCTCATATCTTGCTGATGCTCAAACAGCACATCAAATCCTGAAGTCACCTGAACATGTGACCAGTAGTTCAGTAGAACATTCAGCTTATTAGTGAAAGGATCTGGGTTTGATTCCTAGGCTGAGTTAGATGTAGGGAAAAGTGTTCATTCATTTACCACTGCCAACATTTACCTAGCAGTAAACAGGTACCTAAGTATTAGTTGACTGTTGCAAATGTACTATGAAAAAAATAATCCTCCCTAAATTATACATTTCATACCATCTACTAATTTCTTTTTTACAGGCTATGCAACAAATAGCAAAACAGCCATATGCTGAATAAAAGTCATAATACCACGATTGGTACAAGTCACGTCTAACCCACAAATTGAAAATAGAAGTTAGATAATGCTTTTGTTCATCCTGGACCATTATTATATCTGTTTCCAATTTGTGGGTTACTTGTGAATACCCAAACAATCTTAATATTAACATATTTGAGGAGGTTTTAAATAGTGGCCATGTCCAATCAAAAACGAAAATACACTATACTTTTTTTATTGGCGTTTCTGGGAATTATCTTCTCCATGTCTTCCTAGATTGAGAAGGAAATACTGCATGATTAAAAACTATTAAGAAGCACACAGGAAAGTAAAGATATGTGTAACTAAAAGCACAAAGATACTTTTAAAACATACCTGCCATCTTACATATTTTATGCTCATCAGACAGGGCAGAAAAAAGTACTTACCCAGATGGTTCCTGTCTACTAACCAGTTACCTGTATCTACAAAGAAAAAAAAAAGTAGACCAACCTGCTGTGGTTGTAGATCACAAATGATGGAATTAATGGAAGAGAGTATTTCCTCAATGAAGGGCATGGCTTCTCCAACCTGCATCTGAACGAACTGACGACGGCATTTCTGAGCAATTTTTATGAAGGTATCACATGCCATGTCCTGAACACCGTCATGGGTTTCTTGTTAGGAGAGAAAATAAGTTTTATCAAAATACTGAGTGATAAAGCATCCAACACAAAATCAATATTATGATATTTAATCATTCTCAACAAATGTCTGAAACTAGAAAATAATAATACTTAGAGTGGGGCTTACCTAGAAACCATTGTAACCCTTAAACTATTGAGCTGACTGATGACTGGTATAGCCTTTAGTACACAGGTCTACAATTTAATGTCCATGGAGTTAATTTAACCATCTCAAGGTTGAGACCCTTGATCTCAAACTTGCTCTCAGGGTTGAAGAATTAAAAAAAAAAAATCTTATGAAATGATGAGAATCTTTTTCCGAAGGTAATGAAACGAAAAGTACGAAATCTGATTGGAAAATTTTATGGAATTACGCTCTCACAAGTTAGTAGTCTCAGCAATATTTACACATAGGCAATTTTGCCCACTTTCTGCTCCCTATTTTTGGCCAATTCCATTGTTCCAGTTAGCCAAACTCATAGCTATTTTGCTAGTATTCCTTCTATTCTATTGACTGAGTACAAGAAATTGACCATTTACCTATTTCAACTACCCAATAGTGATCAGAAATTGGTAATTTGACCAATTTACAGAAAATTAAAAAATTGCCAATTTAAAAATAAGGTCCGGATAAAACAATGTAGACATTCCTGGCACTTAATAAACATTTCCTCTGTTCCTTAAGTCACGTCTCCAGGCCCCCCTTATATTACTCTTGCTTTCCATTTTGAGTTTTTATTCACATAAAAAACAGATTTACTGTCATGCAGACTACTGCATTATTGTCATACATAAATGTATGAATAACATCAGTGCATTCCTAAATGCATATTAGACTGGCAAGCTGGATGCATGTTGGACAAGCAATGTCATTTGCGTGCTCTGGAATATTGGCAAAAATTGAACGTTACTATTATTTGAAGCTCAATTTCAAACTACTGTTGGTACCTTGAATTTCGAACAGCTCCCAACTTGAACAATTATGTAAGTGCTTTTGTAAGTGTATTTTTGGGGGTCTGAAATGAACTACTCTAATTTACATTGTTCCTTATGGGAACAAATTCGTTCGGTAATGGCACTCGAACAGCCTTCTGGAACGAACTTTGGCTGAAATTTGAGGTACCACTGTTCTTTCAGTCCTTAAATCAATAAAAAATCATCTCTCTTTCTGTAATATATCTTCCACTCGATCAAATGAGACCAAGAAACTGGGAATGCAACCATAAAAACCAAATGAAAATAGATCAGAAAGTCGCTGTTTTAAACCAAAAACACGATCACATTTTTTTCCCTCATTATGCACTATGTGCTGCAGGATTTTTTTATATGGTGCACACTTACCACATAGACCCATTCTCTCATATCTAAGCCAAAATTTACTGCTCACAGCTTATCTGAGTGAGCTGAGCTCATGGCATCATACTATGGGACCAACACTGGCTTCAAAGTCATTATATAATGGGACTGACACAAAAAGGGTTAAGTAAGAAGTAACACTATACACTGGTTTTTGCACCACATCTGCATCCTTCAACCCTTTGAGTGTTAAGACCCCTGCTTGCAAACTTGCTTGTAGTGTCGAAGAATTCGGTGGAAAACTTGTGGAATTATGCTCTCGCAAAGCTAACGGTCTTGGCGATATTTACGCATTGGCACTTTCGCCCAATTTGAGCCCTATTTTGGGCCAATTCCTTTGTTCCACTCGACCAAATTCTTAGCTATTTCGCTAGAACTCCTTTTATTCTATCGATTGAGTACAATGAACTGCCCATTTAATTATTTTAATTATACAAAAAAAGTGATCAGAATTTACTAATTTGGTCAATTTCACACAAAATTCAAGAAAGGCCAATTTCAAAACAGGGGCAGAATAAACAAAGCAGACATTCCTGGCACTAAAATAACATTTTCTCTGGTCATTAGTCATGTCTCCGGGCCCCTCGTATATTACACTTGCTTCTCATTTTGAATTCTTATTTACACAAAAAATAGATGATTTACTGTTATTAAGACTACTGTGTAACTGTAATAATTATAAGTAATACCACCACGTTCGTGAATGCATATCAGACCCACCAAATGACATGTATTGGATGCATGACGTGATTTGTTTACTCTTGAGCATTGTCAAAAATCTAATATTTCCGTTACTTAGAGCTCAATTTCAAGCTACTTTTAGTTAGCAAACCACTCAAAATCACCTCTATTTCTGTAACATATCTTCCATTCTATCAAATGAGACCAAGAAAATGATAATACAACCATAAATTCCATACAAAAATACACCACAAAGTCGCTGTTTTAAACCAAAAACAATGTCGCAGTTTTTTTTTTCTCATTATGCACTGCTTGCTGCAGAATTTTATTTATACTGCGCACACTAACCACGCAGACCCATTCTTTCATATGTGGGCTTACCAGCTTCTCCCGCAAGATCTGAAGCCGCTAGAATTTTGGTGTTGTATTATGGGACCAACACTGACTTCAAAGCCGTAATATTATGGGACCGACACTGAAGGGGTTAAAATAAAAAAAAAAAACTATGCATTCTTCATATCCCACAAGGGAGGATGTTAAGGAATGAAGTAAACCCCAGGGTGGTGAGGATATGGTATGGCATGGGAAGCGAACACTGATGTGTAATTGTAATACAGTGATGATTCACAAGCAGTGATATTGATCACATTTTGTTTTGATGAGGATAGTAAAATGAAACTGTAGTCAAATGTATGTAAAATGAGCAGAAGCACATCTAGGTTCTCTGGGAATTTATGGAGACACTTGAATTATGGGTAGAAACATTGGTATTATATTATCAAATTTACCAAAAGTAATTCCACTGGTAATGTCTAACAAATGTGTTCTGATGAAGACACAACAATAAGCATAGAACATCCATTCATGCCAGGCCTCCTCTTGTGTCAAACAAGATGACAATATATCTTTGTGTGAAAAAACAAGGTTGTCTAGCAAAATGAAATAAGAGATCACTAAAAATGGTTTAGCAGGAGTAAAAATGTGTCTCACGAAATCGTAATGACACGATTGCAAACAAACCATACCACGGTTTTGAGACTCTCTGACCGTGGGTTCAAACCCCGCCCGTGGTATGGTTTGGTAAAAATGTGTGTTTGTACTCATCTATACGTGGTTGCAGGATCCAAGTTTTATTTCCTGGCAGCCCTGCCTCTCAACCTGCTCTTTGCCAGTCACCCTCCCAGCCTTGTGGGCTTTATTAAACCTGCTCTTAAAACTAAGCATGGGCCCCATCTCCACCTTGAGATCACTATTTCCTGACAACTTTAATACTGAAGACATACTTCCTGACAACCCTTTGGTTCATCCATGTCTAGCTTCCAGCTGTGATCTCAAGTACCTGTTTCTTGCCTCTCTAACAGCCTGTCACTGGCTACGTAATCAATCTAGCCAAGTATCTTTTATGCTGCTACTTCTTCCCCAATTCTCCTGTCCTCCCATTGTCATTAGATTTAATTCCATTAGCCTCTCCTTGTAGCTCATACCCCTCAGCTCTAGGACGAGCCTTGTTGCATACTACACTTTCTCCAGTTTTAGGTTATCCACAAACAGGGATACATCTGATTCAATTTCATCTGGAATTTCCTTCCCATAAACATGAATGAATGCATGCATGTACACATGTACATTTGTAGACTGTACAAAGATCCCATGCAAAAGAGAGAAATAGCCATGACTGACCCAGTAGAAAGACCTGGATTGATTAAACAAATGAAGTGAGTCATACACGATGGAACTGAAGGTAGCTAAGTGATATCTATTAGAAATGGGAGAAAGCAAAAACAGGTCATATGAAAAATAGACTATGATAAAATGTTAAGAGGATCTAGGAGGCATCACTGGCCAAAGATCGTTACCAAAGACCATATTAACCCTTAAACTGTGTCCAATGTACAATTATGCACATTTTTTCATACCCACAAATCTGCTACCTGCAAAATATTTTAGACTTCAGCACACCTCTTTAGGTCTCCTGCCATCTACATATACATTTGAAAAAATCTCAAGCCAGCAGGGTCCACATAGTGTATCATGGTTAACTATTCAGGCAATGATTGTATCTCTGATGTACTAGTATGCCTCACTAGCAAAAGCAAACAATGAACCAGGAGCTGTTCCACCACCAGCTTCCCTTCCAGTCGACAGGATATGCAAGTGGCACAAGGATGACTTACTCATTCCAAATTTATTACAATTTCTTAATACTAACATTGGAATTTACCCACAAAGCACTAGTATATTTAACCCAAGATAAACCAGTAATCAAAATGTGACTTACTTCCATGTTTTGAGAAGCAATACACACTGAAACAATTGTAGTGTTGCAAGTATACCTTGTACAAAGACTTAGAAGACCAAAATAATAATAATAATAAAAAAATATTTAAAAAAAAAAAAAAAATTATACCATACATTCAGTGTCTCAATGTCAGTCTAAGTATTTCCCCCAAGTTTGAAGTGCTAAAACACCTTTAACCCTTTGAGGGTCGACAGGCCCTCTCCGAAACTCGTTCTCAGGGTCGGCCAAATTTAAAAAAAAAAAAAATTATTTTCTCTTATGAAAAGATAGAGAATCTTTTCCCGATCATAAAGACACCAAAAGTTTGAAATTTGATAGAAAACTTACGGAATTATGCTCTCGCAAAGTTAGCGGTCTCGGCGATGTTTACGCATCGGCGATTTTGCCCACTTTGAGCCCCATTTTCGGCCAATTTCACTGTACTAGTCGACAAAAAACATGAATATTTCGCTAGAACTCCATTTTTTCTATCGAATGGGTGCAAGAAACCACTCATTTATGAAATTCAACTATCCAGTACAGTGGTCAGAATTTAGCAATTTTGCCAATTTCACACAAATTTCAAAAGACGCCAATTTCCGAATAGGGTCCAGAATAAACAAGAAAGACATTCCTGGCACTAAAATGACATTTCCTCTAGTCATTAGTCATGTCT